GTGTTGCATTTTTCTCCCTTTGTGTCACAGATTCAGTGGAAATTGAAGAATATGAGGAACTAAATAGTATTTGGATTTTGGCAACTTTTCACTTAGACTTGTCTAAATACTTAGTGGGTGGAGGCTGAGCAGCAAAATGATGAGGTAAAAGAAAAAGGATAAGAAAACAGAGAAAGAGAGAAAGAAGAAAGAAAAATGGAAAAAGCAAGCAAACAAAAAATTATTTATTTGTTAATTTTAAAAAACAAAAAGTGAAATTACTAGATCTCAGCTCTATGGTGGACTCATTCTTCTGGCCTGCCCTCTCTGTTTGCCTAGATAGGAGGGGTGAAGAGGAGGGGATTATTACTAAGATAAAGGAGGATTTCAGGGTCAAGAAAAAACTTTACCCTAAAAAATTTTTTAAAAAGAAAAAAATTTTTTAAAAATACAGAGACAGAGAGACAGAAAGAGACAGAGAGAGGTAGAGAGAAGGATACAGGAACTCTACCAGGGTAAGTTCTCAGCAGAACATCTTCATTGCCTTATCTCTGAAATCACTAGATCTTGGCTTTCATGGCAGACTTCTCCATATATATTTCTTAAATGGAGTCTAAGCCTTGTGAGCCTTTCTGTTCTGATCTCCTATTATTATACATAAGCCCTACTGATGTTGCAGTAGAGTGTAGGGGGAGGGAAACATTCTATAATCTTTGATCAGGGCTCAATATTTTAATAGGCTTGTGACCCTGGCTGTGACCTTCACAAGTCCTTTCCAGTTCTCCTCCCTTAGCTCAAATAAGAAAGTTTAGGAGATGAAGTTGGATATTTTTCTTCTCTCATATCTGGTTCTGATAACGTAGTTTTCATTGAATACAGGTCTTTGTTAGACACCCTGGGCATATTGGAAGACCATTACCTTTACCCTGGAGAATTTTAAAATGATTACTTACATTCCTTACCTTCTTGCTGGAAGCAGAATATTTTTCTCTGATCTTCATCATAAAAACTTGGGATTCTTGGCAGTTGAACTCATGGAAATAACTTGACCTTCGGAATTTTTTATTCTCAAGCTAGTCTACACTAAGCTTCAGAAATTTTTCTATTATCATTTGAGTGTTTCTACAAACTACTGTCTTTAGTAACTTCCTCTCCCACTAAGCCGTGATTGTCCATAATTGCCTGGGGCATCAGTTTGCTCTGAGACCTCGGTTTTCTAATGGATCTAAGAAAAGCTGTTGATTTTCAGTTTGTTCAGGTTTCCTATGGTAAGAATGAGAGCAACAGCCTCTATTATTTTTACATGTTAGAGTAGACTGTCTTTTTTTCCACATTTTTTTGATTCACAAATGATCTTAATTAAACTACATATTTTCAATAGTAAATACAAATCGATATAAACATATCTATGGACACATGTCTGATTTTAGGCATAAAACTCAGTGATTAGAATGAACATACTATAAAGTTGCACCTAGCTAAGGGATATATAGCTTACTGTAGTCATTAAGTAGATATTTTGTTTGTTTTCTATGTATTTAGGATTTTTTAATTTCAAGAAAAGCAGTCTTTACTTTAATAAATTAAAATCAAAACATGTTAAAGCCAGGAAAAAGGTTAGTATTTTGTTCAAACAGTAGGTAGATACTAAAAAGTCAAAAAACAGGTATGGGTATGGACAAAGTTAAACGGAAGTAACAAGTGGACTGTAATTTTCTTCTGAAACTTTTTTTTCTTTCTCCATTCCCCCTTTTTCTAAAAAGAGGCATAAGCTAACTTATTTGCAAAAAAAAAAAAAATTAGTTTCAATTTGGTCTGTTATTTGCATAAAGTACATAAGAATACTCATTGATTTAGTTGACTTTGCTGGAACTTTTTATAAGGAACTTCAGATTAGACTCTTTAAAAAGCTTCCCAAGGCTTCTGAGCCAATCCGGAATTCACCATCTGACTATACCTCTAGTACCAGTACTTGAGAGTTTTTTGAGCCTTTCAGGAAGTGTCATTCTTTACTTATCTGCCAGACAACTGTTTATGGTACCAGGCAATCTTTCTAAGAGCTTCTGTTGGCTTTCCTTAAGATCTAGCTTACTTAGTTAATTAGCTTTCTGATCATATCTTCAGATATGGCATCCCAGTCAAAGGCCTGGCAATAACCCAGTATTTTCAATTTCTGATGCAAGGCAACAAGTATTATTGAACTTATGCAAATAACCGTTCTGCCACAAAATAAGAATGCTCACAAATATTTTCCAAGTCCAGAGGAGTCAGGAAGGGAGAAAAGTTTATGTTTCAATTTTTAAAAATTAACACATTACAGAACCTATCAACAACTCAAAACAAAAATCCTTAAATCTGGAAGACAAAGTATAGGTGAAAATCAGTAGTGTTTTAGTCAAAAGTCATAAAATTCTATTTCACCAATTCAGTCTCACATAATTAATCTCTCTTCTATTTAATGTGCAGTGTTACTGTGGTCAGATCTTTCCATTTAAATCCTAGTAGTTAACATTTAACATTATTATTGAGATTTCCAGACTTCTCCCTACTTTTTATTAAGTTGGCCATTTTCTTGGTTGTTTTTTTGCTCTCTTATTTCTGTCTGTTTTTAGTTTTCCTGGTTTAGCACTCCCTTCAGAACTTTTTGAAGAGCTGATCTGCTGTTGGTAAATTCTTTCAGGTTTTGTTTATCTGAGAATGTGTTTATCATTACTTCCCATATGAAGGATAATCTTGCCAGGGATAGTATTCTTGGTTGAAATAGTTTTTCTTTTAACACTTTGAATATATCTTCCCATTCTTTCCTTGTTTGCATTGTTTCTGGTGAATGGTCTGATGTTAGCCTGATGGGATAACCTTTGTACATAACTTGACATTTCTCTTTTGTCAATTTTTGTATCTTGTCTTTTTTGAGGTTTTAGTCAATTTGTCTATGATGTGTCTTTAAGATGATCTTGGTTGATTCTTTTTGGCTTCCTTCATATGTCTTGTCTGGATATTTAAATGCCTAAATAGGTTTGGAATGTTTCCTTCTGTGATTTCATGGAATAGATTATCAATGACCTTATTAGTTTCTTCACCTTCTAGGATACCAATTATCTGGATGTTTGAGTGTGTAATGGTAACTAGTATTTCTTGTATATTATTCTCATTTTGGGGGGTTATTTTCTCAGTCTTTTTGGTCATTTTTTTCTAGGTCAGAGGTTTTGTCTTCAACATCCGAGATTCTACCTTCTACATGGTCTAATCTGCTTTTAATACTTTCGAGGAGGTTTTGATTTTCTTTATTACAGCCTTCATTTCGAATAGCTCTGATTCTTTTTTATGGTGCGTATTTCTTCTTTCAAATTGTCAAAGAACTTCCTCATCTCCTGGAATTCATTGTCTCTTTTCTCTTGTATCTTCTGGAGTTCATTGTCTCTCTTTTCCTGCATATCAGTTAGTTTTGTCATGATGAAAATTCTGAATTCTTTATCTGATGTTTCCACTAGTTTCATTACTGTGGATGATGAAGGGCTGTCCTTTCCCTTGGGGGAGAGATGTTTTCTTGGTTTCTCATATTTCTTATACCTCTGCAGTGGTTTCTGGTCATCTTATGGAGTATACATTTCTTCCTAATTTCTTGGAGTTGATTCTGAGTGTTAGAGGCATGCGGGTGGTGATAACCCACAGTATCTCTGCAGTTCTGTTTTCCTGATACTAACCATGCAACCCACACTTTTGTTGTTGGAACTGGGTATTACAAAGGCCTCACAGTTTCTAGGGAATAGGTGCACCTGGGCTGAGTTGCAGGGTTTCTACTGAGAGTTAAGAGATGTGTGAGAGGAGATGAGCCATATTCTCTGTGCAGCTCTGTATTGCTCCCTGCTGCTCACTTTGCAGTCTCTCTTTTCTAATTTTAGTCATTTGGTGGTGTATTCACTTTTGGCTCACTTGTTAGAAAATGTTTCTGCAACTGTATAAGCTTGCATGGCTTCACTTTACTGCGAGATACTTCTTCTATGCCAGTTTCTCTCCTCTACTGTGTTTTGCAACATGGTATCCACAGAAAGAGATTTGAGTTCAAATTTATGAAGATGAATTTCTCCTTTTGTGCAGCAGGTTCAGTGGAGGTTGAGGTTTTCTATGACCCTGACTAGGAGTTTGGGCTGGAAGGAGAGGTTTAGAGCAAAGACTCTTCAATTAAAAGAGCAGGGCCAACCTCGAATGTAGATGGATTCTGTCTTGGAGTTTGGGCTGGAAAGTCAGACTGTCTTTTTATCACAGTTCTTTAAGCATGATTAATTTTGGCTTGTGGTTCAGAGAGCCTTAATTACCATCATATATATAGTAGCATCCTTGACTAATTTTTAGTACAGTGTCTGTTTATATTTCTCGTTTTCCATCTGTTTCTCTTGCTAGAATTTTTCTGTCGTAAGAACAGGAACCATATCTGTCTTGTTTATAAATGTATTCATGGTACCTTTCACAATATATGTCATATGGTAGGCACTCGACAATTATTTGTTGAATGAATGAATGAATGAATTGATTAGGAGCCATTCATGATGGATGAGTTTCAGTAGTTGGAGATATCTGAGGTAAGTAAGTCCCAATTTTCTGGCTTGTACCTCAATGTAGACAATATTATGTTGCATAGAGATAAAGAGCATGGCAGAAGGAGTACATTTTCAGGTGTGACAGTGAATAGAGTTTGAAGTATCATGGATTTCCAGCCAACAGTTTAGCAGAAAGTCATTAATGGAAGCAGATTGTGGTATTATCAGCTTCAAGACAGTAATTAGAACAAAGAGATACTAGATTAAATTGTTCAGATGTTTGTAGACCTATTTTAAAGGTCTGCTCAAATATTACTTTCAAGTAGTGTATGTTTTTCCAAAATTTCATATACTTTATACTTTGATTTTACTCCTGCTTGAGATTAATGGTACATATTTTTCTTCTACAAATAATTTATATAATTCTTTGTACTTTGCAATTAATAGTAATAGATACAAATTAATTTTTTTTTCTTTTCACAGGAATTCAACTTACAGAATAATACCATAGTAATAATAAAAGACTTGTCTTTGAATTTCTATGAGGGACAGATAACTGTTCTTCTAGGGCCTAATGGAGCAGGAAAGACTACCACCTTATCCATTCTTACAGGTATGTATTTGGGGTCACACTCAGTGCAGGTACCGTGTACTAAATTACATAGCTTTTATTGACTTTCAGTTTGTTCAGGTGAAAACTCTAGATGTTAACATTATTGTCATTTAAATGATACATATGGTTGTTGATTAATCTCTCTCTCAAGAGTGTAAATCATTGGGACCAGCAGATGGCGTAGTAGTCACGTTGCTGGACTCCCACATGGCCAACCACGTTTTGATCCTAGACCCAAAAGCTTCAAATTCATGCCAGGTGCATGTGTGTGCATACCCAAAATCTCAAGAGAATGGAGGATGGAGGAGAAAGGGCATGGCCATGCCCCCTAGGGGGTGACTTGTTGCCTTCTGTTTCTGTCTCTCTGGTGAGTGCATGTGCCCTATAGCATCTCTGGTGAGTGCATGTGCCCTATAGCAAACATTTCTCTTATAAAAAGAAAAACTTAAGTATTATTTTCATATTTTAGGTGCTTAATATTTCTTATGTTATGGTTCACCTTTTCTTTTTTATTCTCATTTATTTGTTTATTCATTTTTCCTCTTTTCTCATTTTTCTTTCCATTTTTTTCTCCCCTTCAAAGGGACCCATCATAATTTATTTAGTGAGCATTGTTCTCATTGTAAAATGTATAATTATTCTTATGAATACATATTTTTATTTGTTAAGAAAATTTCAAAGATGCAGCTAAGTTGAAAGAATTTTTCAGTGAATACCCGTATACTACCAACTAGCTTCTACCTTTAATCATTTTACTACACTTACTTGTCATATGTATCAATACATTTTTTTGAACATTTCAAAATTAACTTAGATATTGGTATGTTTTTTCCTAAATAACTTTGTGTGTATATTATTAACTAGAATTTTTTCCTTTTGGAATAAACTTTTTAAAAATAATTAGTTAAATTTAAACTGTTAATTTGCTGAATTTTGACATATGTATATATCTTGATATAATTTTGACATATGCATATATTTATTAAAGTCAAGAACCCCAGATAATTTTATTATTACTCAAGGGAACAGCTTGTGATTTATTACAACCAATACATTTCATATGCAGCAATAACTTTTTTCATTTATTCCATTAATATATATGAATAGGCCAGGTACTAAGGAAGAAACCAAGAAAACAATGATTAACCTGAAGTCTTTACCTTCATGGATTTTAGAGTTATGTGGGGATGTTGATAAATAAATAAATACGTTGTAAATGAACTTTACAACATAATACAGAAAGGAAGAAAATAGAGCCTGATTGTAGGTTTTTTTCTGCCTCCGGATATAATCCTCTGTAGGTACTTGGGCAAAGGGAAATGAAGTATAATCTAAGGTTGATAAGAGGGATAATGAACCATAAAAGAAAGGGAGGGATGCATACTCCCAGGATATTTGGCTCAGGAAGCAAGAGAACAGGATTAGAGAACAGACAAAGAAAAAGAAACTTCACAAGTTAGAGTGTCAAGTAAAAGCCAGGAACAAGGGTGCATTTCCCATTGTAGCCTTCCTTTTGAGGCAAGGAGTGATGCAAAGTGGCATTTTTTTCAATTCTTATCTTTGAATTCTTTCTGAAATTAGTTAAAAGTTGAAACACACACTGTCTCCCTCACTCTCTCTTTTAGAAATTCTTTCCTAATTAATGCTGGGTGAATCATTGTCATTGTTGTCATCAGCATAATATAATATGCCAATTATTGAATGTTTCTATATGTGTTTTCTTTGAATATACTTTATGTTTTATGTATGTGTGGTGGTGAATCCTAATGGGACCCAAAGATGTGTCCAAATCCTAACCCTGCAACCTGTGTTATCTTATAAGGCAGAGACAAAAATTAATTAAAATAAAATAATGATAATAAAGGCAAAGACTGCAGGTTGATTAAGTTAACAGCTGTGGAAATGATCCTTGATTATCTAAATTAGCAATCACCGGTGTCCTTATCAGTGAGAGGCAGAGGGTCATTACAAACAGGCAGAAGAGAAGGTATGTGGAAGAAAGATGGAGGCAGATAACAGGAAAGATACCACAGGCCAAGGAATACCCACTGTCATCAGAACCTGGATAGACAAGAAACAGATTTTTCCTTATAGCTCTATAGGAAGCATGGTCTTTCTGACACCTTGATTCAGCCCAGTGATGCTGATTTCAGACTTCTGACCTCCAGGACAGTGATAGAATAAATTTCTTTTGTTTTAAGCCCCTAAACTTATGGTGATTTTTTTTAAGAGGTTTTTGCTATAGGGCACGTGCGCTTGCCAGAGAGACAGAGAGAGACAGAGAGACAAAGCGAGTCAGCGCCCCCCTCAGGGGGGGATGGCCACACCACAATCCCCTCTCCTCCATTCTCCTCGGGATCTTGGGCACGCATGCACACGTGCCCAGCATGAGTTTAAGTCACCGGGTCCAGGATTCAAACCGCAGTTGACTACATGGAAGTCCAGCAACATAGCCATTACACTAACTGTTGATCCCGTTTATGGTGATTTGTTACAACATCCACAAAACTAATATATGTGTTTTGTCAGAATGCACCTTATGTGCTTCTTTGTGTGCATGTGCACATGCCCTTCCCTTCGCTGGGAGTGCTTAATCTACCACTCCACCTTTGAAATGTTCTGTTCACCTATGAATATACAGCTCAGAAGCAGCCTTTTGAGCCCCTCAGTGAAAACTAATCAGTTTTTAAATTTTTAAATGTTTTACATCTAATCATCATACATCTTCACAGTGCATGATACAGTTTTTGAAAGCATGCATGCATTGCGTGTCAATGAATTTAAGTATATTACCATGTACACGATCCTCAACAAACAGCTTTCCATTGTTATAGCTGTTAAATGTTCCCTTCCTCCCACTTGCCGCTGTCCACCCCCTCCTTTACAATTTCTGATACCTACACTTGTCACTTTTAACTTCTACTTGATAATCTATATACTCCAAGTGACTGGAAAGATCCCTTAAAGGTAAGTGTATGATGTGCAATAAATTAATTCTAAACAGTTGTTTAGTCCTCTGTTTCCATATTAGATGTAAATTGTTTGAGGCAAGGGCCATTTCTTATTATTTTTTCTAAGTGGTAGCTTTTTTTTTTTTTTAATTGAGATAACTAACAAAATTCACTATTCAAGTCAATTTAAAGTGTCCAATTAAGTGGCTTTGAAACATTCATAATATTGGGCAACGTATTACCTATAGTTAGTTATAGAATACTTTTATTACCCCAAAAAAGAAACTCGTGCCCATTAGCTATCACCCCTCCCCACCCCGATTTCCTAGCCTTCCAGTTCCTGGCCACCACTAATTTGGGTTTAGGCTCTACAGATTTGACTAATCTGTAGAGTTTTTATATATAAATAAAATTATATATCAGGAACCAGCAGTTAGCGTAATGGCTATGTCGCTGGACTCCCACGTAGTCAACTGCGGTTCGCGTCCCAAACCTGGTGGCTTAAAACTCACGCCGGGCGTGTGTGCGTGCGTGCCCAAGATCCCGAGAGGAGAATGGAGGAGAAAGGATTGTGGCGTGACCATCCCCCCGGGGGGTGATTTCTCGCTTTCTGTCTCTATGTCTCTGTCTGGCAAGTGCACGCGCCCTATAGCGAAAACTTCTCCAAAAAAAATAAAAATAAAAATAAAATTATATAATATGTGACCTTTTGTGGCTGGCTTCTTTCAATTAGCATAGTGTTGACAAGTTTTATCACTGTTATAGTATCTATCAGTACTTAATTCCTTTTTTGTGACTGATTAATATTCTATTGTATAAATATACCATATTTTGTTTATTCATCAGTTGTTGGACATTGGGTTGCTTCAACTTTTGGCTATTGGGCTGCTATGACCATTTGTGTACAAATTTTCATTTGAACACTTGTTTTTAATTCTTTTGCATACATTATACATAGGAGTGGAATGACTAGATCATATGGTAATTCTGTGTCTAACACTTTAAGAATTGTCAAACTGTTTTTCACAATGAATGTACCATTTTATTATACATTCTCATTAGCAACATATTAGAGTTTCAGTTTCTCCACATCCTCATCAACACTTTTTAGATTACTTTATTTTTAAAAATTGAGCCATTCTAGGGGCCGGCAGATGGCATGGCGGTTAAAGGTACTGGACTCCCACTTGACTGATCATGGTTTAAGTCTTGGACCTGGTGGCTTCCTTTCTCATTTCCCTCTCTCTTTCTCTGGTCAAATTGAAAAATAATAATGATAATAAATAAAGTAAAAATAAAATAATTTAAAAATATTTGAGCTATTCTAAGATTTAAAAAAATGATAAGTGCTGGTGAGGCTCTGGTGAAAAGGAAACTCCTACACTGTTGGTGAGAATATAATTTAGTACATAGCCACTATGGAGAGCAATATGGAAGTTACTCAAAGACCTACAAGTAGAACTACCAAATGATCCAGCAATTCCAAGTGTGGGTATTTACCCAAATAATAAGAAAAATGCTCAGTGGAAAAGTGTTTGCACATCGATGTTTATTGTGGCATTATTCACAATTGCTAAGACATTGAACCAACACAAATGTACACAAACAGAGAAATGGATTGAAGAAGTGTGGCATATATACTCTGTGGAATACTACTCAGTCATAAAAAACAACAAGACCCTGACTTTTGACAGAAAGTGAATGCATATGGAAGATTTAGTGCTGAGTGAAGCAAGCCAGGCTATGAAGGAGAGACATTGTATGTCTCCACTTAATATAAACTGACTGTCTGCACTCTATAGCTGTAATGTAATGACTAGAGGATATAGAAACATATAAAATAGTTATAGACACCAGATACAGTGTGGGAATAGGGTGGGAGAAGGAAGAGTCTGAGGAAAGACATTAAGGAGAAAATTAGAGAGAAAAGGCATTTATGGAAAAAAGAAATGGGTGATTATGTGTTGAGGATCATATAAATAGTATCCTCCCACTGGACTGGTAAAAAATGTATTCATGTTGGAACATTCAGTTTACAAGCTAAATGACGTACATGATTTAATGTATAAAATAAATAAATAAAATAAAATACACATATACACTATGGAATACTACTCAGCCATAAAAAAAAGACTCTGGCATTTGATAGAAAGTGGATGAATATGGAAGATTTACTACTGAATGAAACAAGCCAGGCTATGATAGAGAGACATTGTATGTCTCCACTTAATACATACTGACAGTCCACACTCTGATGGAAACTGAAAGATTAGAGGATATAGAAGCATGGAAAATGGTTATAGTGGAAACTGTGGGAAGAGAGGAAAAGATGGGGAAGGGTGATAGGAAAGGAATCAAGGAGGAAAACAGGCAAAGTATTTGAGGGACACAGAAATGGAGGATTGTTTGCTGATGATAACATGTATGATAACTTCAATTGGACTGGTGGAAAGTGTGTTCATGGTGGGTAAATTCATTTTACAAGCTGTAGTGATGAGCAGTGATTGAATGTATAAAATAAAATAATGAAATAGAATTTTGAACCATTCTATTAGCTATTCTAGTGGTATCTCATTGTGACTTTGGTTTGAATTAATACACCAAGGTTTAAATTTTAATAAAGTTCAATTTATCTAATTTCTTGTCTTCATGCTTTTGGTGTCATATTTAAGAACTCAATGCAAAATCCAAAGTCATGAGGATAGATTTACCTCAATGTATTCTTCTAAGAATTTCACAGTTTTAGCTCTTACCATTTAGTTCTATGATTCATTTTGAATTAAATTTTGTATGTGGTATGAGGTAGGGTTCCAGCTCCATTGCTTTGCATGTGAATATCCAGTTATCCCAGGACGATTTGTTGAAGAGACTACGCTTTGTCCATTGAATGGTCTTGGCACCCTTGTCAAAAATCAATTGACAGAGATGTATGAGTATATTCCTGGACTTTTAATTCTATTCTATTAATAGATACTTGTACCACACAATTTTCATAACTATTACTTTGTATTAAGTTTTGAAATATGATTCCTCCAACTTTACCAGGAAAGGCTTACAAAAGTCCTGATGCCACAATTCTTCCCCAGTCCTAGCCAGTCCCAGATCATGGGCAAACATATCTTCTATACTTAAGGAGGTGTCTGGAGGTGAACCCAGAACCTTCCCATGTGGGTCAGCCTCACAAAGTGTTGGATTTTTCACTGACCTACTGTCTGGCCCCTAAAAAACTTTTGATTCTATTAATTGGATGAACAAAATGGAACCAATATTAGAATTACTTTTTATTTAAATCATCTAATGACACTGATAAAAAGGGCATTGTTAGTGGCTTAAGAATTTTCTGTTCCTGGGAACCAACAATTAGTGTAATGGCTATATCGCTGGACTCCCATGTAGTCGACCGCAGTTTGCGTCCCAGACCCGGTGACTTAAAACTCACGCCGGGTGCATGTGCGTTTGTGCCCAAGATCCCGAGAGGAGAATGGAGGAGAAGGGATTGCGGCGTGACCATCCCCCCTGGGGGGTGATTTCTTGCTTTCTGTCTCTCTGTCTCTCTCTGTCTGTCTAGCGAGCGCACGCGCCCTATAGCAAAAATCTCTCCAAAAAATTAAAAAAAAAATTAAAAAAAAAAGAATTTTCTGTTCCTCATGGAACTTGAATATTTACAGCTAACTATTAATAACAAACTTTGGAACAAAATGGTGGAAATTAAGATTTATCTTTTTTTACGAATAGAAAGTCAAGTTCCTCAAGGTATATGTAAACACATCTTCTGCAGCTATTACTGTTAAATGACTGTCTATGGGTCAATCTTATTAAATACTATAAAAAATAAATACTCTCTTTTAAAGTAGATTAACTTTTTTCTAGCTTTCTGTGGTCAGCAATATCAATAGGGCCCTATTGTGGATAATTTATGGTCACGAACTATGCAAGTTATAGTTTCATCTGAATGATCTTGAGAAATGCATATTTACTTTTTCAGTAATTGTATACCATTTTTTCTCTTTTTATTAGCTTGTTTCCAGGAAAGTTTATAACAGAATTTAAAAACACATTACCAAAAATGCAGCAAATATTTATTGTAATTATACATCTTAATGGGATACAAGTGTGTTTTTCAAAACACGTATACAGTGTATAGTAATCAAGGATATAAACATATTCACCATCTCCAAGTTTGTTCAACTTCTTTTCAAAAATATATATTACATTGTCACCAACATTTCTTACTATGATACACCGTTCTATAACTATTCCATGTGTTTACATGCACTGTCTTTTAACCAATTTCTCCCTATCTTCCCAACCCCCACTCCTATTCAACTTCTGGTATCTACCATTACACTCTACTTTTAAGCTACTGAGTCTTTTAGCTTCCTCTGATCAGTTGAGGATACCTGGTATTTGTTAAGTGAGGAACTAACTGTATTCACTTTTCATGGGTTGAGTTATTTTACTTAGCATTATATCTACTGGGTTCATTCATTTTGACTCAAATGACAGGGAATTCATTGTTATGCCTGAATAGTATGACATTGCATATATATGCCACATTTTCTTTACCCATTTCATTGGTTGTTGGGCACTTAGGTTAGTTCCTTGTCTTTGCTATTGTGAATACTGCTATAATAAGTAAATAAACTGCAGATGTATCTTCAACTAATTCCCTATCTTTTGAGCATATACTTAGTAATGGGATTACTGGGTCAAAATACAATTATATTTCTAGTTTTTTGAGGAACCTTTAAATTGTTTCTACAATGGCTAAACTAGTTTATATTTCCATTAGCAGTGCACAAGCATTGCCCCTTTCCACAGCCTCTCCAGCACTTTCTCTTCAAAAGTTTTTTTTATTACTCAAAGAATTTATATTATTCTATATTCATTGAATTTGGATAAGCAAAAGAAAAAAATTGTTTGTGTTACCATTACCAGAAGATAATCATGATATTTACCAGACCTTTTCTGTAGAGGATATTGCTAATTCTTTTGAATATAAGTATTCTGAAAAGCTAAGATGCTAATAAACAATATATTGTCTGGTTCCTTCACTGAAGCTTCCATCATTTTTTTTTTTTTTGCTTAATTCTAGGTTTCTATCGTCCTACCAGTGGAAAGGTCTATATTAGTGGATATGACATCTCAAAGGACATGGTTCAAGTCAGGAAAAGCTTGGGATTTTGCCCCCAGGATAATCTATTGTTTAAGAACTTGACAGTGTCAGAGCACCTTTATTTCTACTGTGTGGTGAGCCAGAAACACATATGTCCCCTCTCCCCCATTCTTTTCACATAATTCTAGCAGTATGACCGAGGATCATGTTACCTTTATCTATTCAATAGTAAGTTTGTTTATTTATTTATTTAAATAATTATCTATTTAATTTATTTGTTACTATTATTTTTTAATTTGAGCAGAGAGAGAGAGAGAGAGAGAGCAAGAAAAGGAAAGTGAGAAAGTAGGCTTCCAGGTCCAGAATTCAAACCACAGTGGGCCATGTGGGAGCCCAGCATCTTAGTCACTACGCCCCCTGCCAGCTCCTACTTATTTATTTTTATTTATTTTTTGAGTCATTTTCTTTATCATAAAGGGACACAAAGGGGGAGAAGAAACATATTTAGTTAGCTTTGTAAGAAAAACTCTTATGTATGTATTTTCTAAGGATTAATTTGGTAAGAAAAACTCTTATGTATGTATTTTCTAAGAATTAAGTTAAAATCACCATATAAACTCTGGCTTCTCTTTCTAGATAAGAGGAGCACAACCAGAGAAGCATTCTGCAGAAACTAACAAAATTTTGACTTCTTTTGGCATGCTACAAAAGAGTAATGAACTTTCAAAGAACCTGAGTGGAGGAATGAAGCGCAAACTCTCTATCATCATAGCCTTGACAGGGGGCTCCAAGGTAAATAACAATTAAAATGGGTCCCTTCCCTAGCTGATCTATAAACTCACAGCTACAACAAACCTAGAAGGGGATACCAAACTAACTCTCTAAAAGGAACATCCCAAGTGATAATCAGAAGGAGTAAACATTGTTGACCCCGCTGATACAATATAATGTGGTCATGGGTTTGAAATCACTAATTTTCCAGAGTTTTTAGCTCTAATGTAGTCCATATTTTTTTTACCTTAAATATGTTCCCCATGAATGCTAAGTAATCTAACAAGTGGCATAGCATGAGTTTAATGTGGTTTATAAATTGTTCTGGTGGCCAGCAGACGGATGGTGTAATAGTTACATTGCTGGACTCCCATGTAGTTGACTGGAGTTTGAGTTCTGCACCTGGCATTTTAAAACTCACACCAGGCACATGTGTGTGCATGCCCAAGATCCTGAGAGGAAAATGGAGGAGAAGGGATTGCAGCATGTCCATCCCCCTGGATGGCTATTTCTCACTTTTGGTCTGTCTCTCCAGTGACTGCATGTGCCCTATTGCAAAATCTCTCTTTAAAAAAATTTTTTTTTTCTGGTCTTTAGGTGGTGATACTTGATGAGCCAACATCTGGCATGGACCCAGCCTCAAGGAGAGCCACCTGGGATCTCCTCCAGCAGTATAAAGAGAATCGCACCATCTTACTGACCACCCACTACATGGATGAAGCTGACATCCTGGGTGATCGCATTGCCATCATGGTCAGGGGGACCTTGCAGTGCTGTGGCTCTTCAGTCTTCTTGAAAAAAAAATATGGTCTCTCTCCTTTTGATCATTATTTAGATGTTGATGCCTTAATAACATTAAAAAAATTTTTTTTGGTCTCTATGCAGACTTTGACTAGCTTCCTATGTCCTACTGTGTTGGATCTGTACTATTTTAGCTGTTCTGTGGCTCTTTATAATTTATACATATTCATGTATTTCCCCTTATAACCTAATAAGTATATTTTAACTTGGAAAATATCTTATTGATCCCACAAAATTTATGTTTATTTCTCCCATGTAGTGTCCACTGAACTGTTCATTTGTCACAGGAATGAAGTCATGCCCTCAAGAGATTTGTAGATTTATGGCTTACAGAAGAGGAAGTCCGTGACCATATATTTATGACCTGTTTTCTTTTTTGCCAAATCCCTAGTGTAATTGAGTTAAATATTTTTCTAGCTTATTGTCATGAAAAATCCCTGAAATGTGGAAGTTTATGAATAATAATTTACTGGGTAGGAAGTGAATGATTTTGATGAGTATGTCTATAAGAACAGAACATAAAAATGAACAATATAGTTGCTCATTGTTATTTATAATTGAGTTCCAAATTTACATATCTCAAATCAGGTGTATTAGGATTTCAAAATTGGAGGATACAAATCAGTGAGAATAGTTAAAGACAACCTCATTCCACTAATCAGTAATTTGGTATTTGAGTTCATTCATTCAACTCACATGTATTGAGTACCTTTTGTGGATGAGTTACTAGGTTTTATTCTATATATGCATTATCTGATTTAAACCTGGGGCTGATATTTAAGTAGCATTAAAACCATGTAGTGGAGGCAAGGGGCAGAGGCAGGCCTTCAGAAGACTCCTCCATTGCCGCTGAGAATTAGTGATTTTAGGGAAAAATAGAAATGAAGATTTTCTACTGGTAATTCAGTCTCCAGGCTCCAAACTCGAGTGGAGAGGCAAGGGGCAGGGGCAGGCTTTCAGAAAAAGACTCTTCCATTGCTACTGAGAACTAGTGATTTCAAAGAAAAACAGAAATGAAGATTTTCTACTGATAATTCAGCCTCCAGCCCCCAAACTCGAGTGGTAGGAAGCCCATCTATCCTTCTCTCTGTCTCTCTCTATCTTCTCATTTAAAAAAAAAAATTTCCTTTTTAAATTTTTTTAAGGTAAAGTATTCTCTTGGCTTTTAGAACCTCCTTTATCTTGCTTATAATCCCCTTTTCCTCTCCCCACTAGGAGAGGCAAGTGACAGGGGCAAGGCTTCAGAAGAAGACTCCTCCATTGCTGCTGAGAACTAGTGACTTTTTATTAGCAGTTTTTATTTTTTTAAATAAATTTTTGGTGGTGGTGGTGGTGGTGGTGGTGGTTCTTGTTCTTCTTCTTGTTCTTCTTCTTCTTGTTCTTCTTCTTCTTCTTCTTCTCCTTCTCCTTCTCCTTCTCCTTCTCCTTCTCCTTCTCCTTCTCCTTCTCCTTCTCCTTCTCCTTCTCCTTCTCCTTCTCCTTCTCCTTCTCCTTCTCCTTCTCCTTCTCCTTCTCCTTCTCCTTCTCCTTCTCCTTCTCCTTCTCCTTCTCCTTCTCCTTCTTCTCCTTGTTCTTCTCTCTATCTCTCTTCTTTTTCTTTTACCTCATCACTTTGTGTCTAGGTGAGTATAAGGGAACCATAGCCAAACATCCAAATACTGTTAGGGTTAACATATTCCTCAATACCCACTGAATCTGCTGTACAAAGGGATAAAAATGGAACAGCAAAGCACTTGCAGATCACCTGCATGCTCCTGAATGCTCAGATTGAATTTCAAGAATTAGGAAGAAACACACCATCCATCGGATGACTAGAAATCACCACAGGGGCACAAGAAATATGGGAAAGCAAGAAAATACCTCTTCTCCAAGGGAAAAAAATAACTCCACTTCATCTGCAGACAGTTCAATGGAAACCATGGAAATATTTGATAAAGAATTTAGAATATTCATAGTGACAAAGTTATCAGAAATGCAAGAAAAAAGAAACAATGAACTCCAGAAGAGGCAGGAGAAGAGAGCCAAGGAGTTCCAGGAGGTGAGGAAGTTCTTGAACAATCTGAAAGAGGAAATAAATACACATCATAAAGAATCAAACAGAACCGTTAGAGATGAAGGTTGTAATACAGGAAGTCAAAATCTCTCTTGAAAGTATTAATAGCAGACTAGATCATACAGAAGATCGAATCTCAGATGTAGAAATCAGAATTGTTGGTCTAAAAAAATCCACCACAAAGACTGATAATAGTCCAAAAATGAGAATAATATACAAGAAATGCTAGATACCATCATACATCCAAACATCTGGATAATTGATATCCCAGAAGGTGAAGAGACTAGTAAGTGCATTGATAATCTATTTCATGAAATCCTGGAAGAAAACTTTTAAATCTAGAGAGGCATTCAAAGATCCAGACCCAAGAAATAAATTAGACCCCGAATAGAATCAACCCAAGAAGATCTTCTCTAAGACACATTATAGCCAGATTGACCAAAACTGTAAAGACAAGGTACTCAGACTGGCAAAGAAACGACAAGTTACCTACAAAGGATATCCATCAAAATAACAGTGGAGCTCTCAGATACAATGCGATGTAGCAGTGAATCAGCTTAAAGTGATGAATGCTAGAACAAGAGTAAGGGCGAAAAGACTGGAAAAAGTATGTGTACATGCACTTGCACTCTCATACACATTTGCATGCATATGTGTGTATAAAACCTTAGAAGAACCAAAAAGACTTGGTGACAGAAGCCCATGTGAGTTCACTGTCACATGCAGAGGGAAGAATTGCCAGAACAGTGATAGGAGATTTGTAGTATGCATACCAAGGTAAAAGTTTAAACTTTAATTACATGCCCCTGAAATGTGGCAAATGAACATTAAGTATATGTAAGAGTGATGGGGGTAAGGAAATCCAACAAAACATAAAACTATAAAACTTTAAATCCTGGTGGAAATATAAATCTTGCATACCCTAAAGATTAAGGAGACAGGAATTGACTAAGGAATGTGTTGATGGTAATTTGAACATTAGTTTGCTCTTAATCACACTCCTGATGACTCTTAAAAATGAACATTTTTAACAGGCTTGAACCTATTTTTTTGTGGATGGGGGATAGGAGAATGAGTTATACGTTTAATTTGGGCAGACTGCATTTTTAAAATTGCTTTAAGTTGTTTATTTATTTTATTTGTAATAGTGGCAGATTCAATTGAACATATTGGTGGTATATTTAAGTAAAACAACCAGAAGGAATTTATACTTATGAAACCAAATCTTATGTGATAAGTTAGGCCCAGAGATAATGATTTTGGCATTCAGTGTTTACTACATATTATGTATTCATTATATTAATTAATCGTAAAAACTTACCAATGTACAAGTAATACAGTTTTGTATGTTAGTTCTCTTCTCACACACACTAAACTTAAATTTTGTTTCCTGTTAGTCCAACCTTTAATTCTTCTTTTCTTCAATCATTCTTTAGGTATCAAAAGCTTATTGCATTTTGATGTATACTGACATAGAAATTTACATAGTGGTGATCATCATTCAGATCTCAGCAACTTCCTAGCCTTCGCAAAAAGAAGGCTTTTAAGATTTTTTAAATATGAAGAACTAGGAAAATGAAATGACTTAAATCATAATTCAAATGATGAGCTTAAAGAAAAACTTCCACTTTGTACAACATTGTATAAATATACAAAATAGAGCCTCAATTTTAATAGTAGTAAATAATTGAGAAGTCACTCAACACTTTGGGTTTTAGATTCCTTATTAGGAAATTGCATTATTACGTCTTTCTATGTCAGGTAACTGAGTCAGTGTATCTCCTGAGGGCATGTCTCATGCTTAAATTAAGATTTTCTTTTCTGTTTTCATAATTAGGGACAGAAATGTGAGAGGAGTTTTCTGCTGGACTCACCAATGACTTTTGCCCCCAATCAATGAATTTTTTTATATGTGCAAAATATAGAATAAACCCTGACAGCTGCTTTATCTCATTCAGATCTCCTTCAATATTACCCTCTCAGTCAGGCCTTTCCTGGCCCATGTCTACAATTTTAATACTTTATTGCCATTTTATATTTCCCTTCTGTGTGCAATCACATATTGTCTCCTTATCACTGACACCATCCAATATAACAATTATTTTGCTAATTACTTTCATTTACCTGTCTTTCCTTACTGGAATATAAATCGTTATGATTTTCAGTTTTTCGGTTAGCTGCTTTGTTTATAGGATATAGAATATTGCCGGAGTCCTAGTAGGTTAGCAATAAATATGTACTGAATGAATGACTATTTACCACTGTCCTCCCACCTACCGAATTGCACGTTCAGAAGGAAAGATTATATAACAGAAGTTTTTTTCTAAAGTTTTCTAAATCTAATTATATAATATATATAATTATCATCCCTGGACCCCTAGAGCAGTATTCAAGACATGTAAGGATGCACCTATAGAGTCAAATAGCTTGTGACATACCATGTCTTCTTCCCTTTGTCCCTGAGCCTGAACCATAGAGACTAAGAATGGTTTCCAAAGAGTGTAAAAAAAATTCAGCTCTGTGGCCTAGGATAAGGCAGCTGAATCCCACATGGCCAGCTATCCAGTTTGAGCCCTAGACTCGGCAACTTCAGAAACACAGCACACCCACGTGCGCGTATGCCCAAAATGCCAAAAGGGAGAAAAGGAAGAGAAAGGATTGCAACATGACCATGTTCATGGGGGTTGCTTTCTCTTATCTCTCTCTCTCACTCTCTTTTTCTCGTGAGTGCACACCACTCTAAAAAAAGGGTACAAAAATTGAAGGGCTGGCCTGTGGTACAGTGGTTAAGCTCTTTGTATAGAGAGCTGGATTCCCCCATGCTGACCAGTTTAAATACCTGCACGGACGGCTTGAAAAATGCTCTAGGTGTGTGTGTATGGATGCCGAAAATCCTAATAGGATGGAGAATGTAGGAAAAAGGGTTGCAGTGTGACCATACCTCATTGGGGGGGTTCTATTTCTCTCTTGCACATGTGCCCTCTGGCAATTAAAAAATCTAAAGTGTTTTGTTTGGTCTTCAAAATGGATCTTTTCAGGTGTGGGATACCACCTAGTCATGGTGAAGGAACCTGATTGTGACATTGATGAAGTCACCCAAATAATCCATCATCACATACCAACTGCCACTTTGGAGAGCAATGTTGCAGCTGAATTATCATTTCTTCTACCCAGAGAGTACACAGACAGGTATGGATTCAGAGGCTGCTATGAATGGTTTTGGGTCTCCAGACATCATGATTCTATTCGAGGTTTCTTAACGCTTGGCAAATAGATTCTTTTTAGTCTCCAACTGACTAAAATAGTAACAAAATAAATAAAATATAATAAAATAATAGTCAGAAAATCTACTTCCTGAAGATTTCATTGATTCTACAAAGATGCAAGATAAATTAGATTTAATTCAGGCTTCTCTTAATATCCCTATCTCTTTATTGCTGTTAATTAATAATAAGATGTGCTAAATTAGTAGTATAATTTTTTTTCCTAGTGAGTAGAGTCAAGTGAATATTTTTATCCTATACAGTTTATCTTTTCTGTTTTTTAAAATTTTATTTTTAATTGACAAATAATAACTATACATATTTGTGGGGTATATATTTATGGGTTACAGTAATTTTATAAATTTATGGGGTACAATATATTTATGGTGATGTTCTTACATGCTTACATTGTGAAATTATTAAAGAAAGCTAATTAACAACTCTATCACTCCATATATTTATTTTCTTGTAATGAAAAAATTGTAAATCTATTTTCAGAAAATTTGAAATATATAATACATTATTACTTATTATAGTCATCATTCTGTGCAATAGGCCACTAAAGTTTATTTCTCCTATCTAACTGAAACTTTTTAACCTCTACCATCATCTTCCCATTTCCTTCACCACAAGCCTCTGTAATCACTCTTCTACTCTTTGCTTCTATGAACTTAGTTGTTTTAGTTTCCACCTGTAAGTGGGAACACATAGCAGTTGTCTTTCTGTGCCTGGCTTGGCTTATTTCATTTAGCACAGTGTTCTCCAATTCTATACATATTGCAGATTTCTATCTTTTTAAAGGCTGAATAGTATACTATTGTGTATATTTAAAACATTTTTAAACCCACTCATCTGTAGATGGACATTTAAGTTGATTCCACAACTTGGCTATTGTGAACAGTACTGCAGTGAACATGGGAGTGCAGAGCTCTTTTTCAGAAATTATTTCAAATTCTTTGATTAAATACTGAGAAATGTGAATGCTGGGTCATATAGTCATTTTAGTTTTAGTTTTTTGAGGAACCTCCATATCATTTTCTGTAATGGCTATACTGTTTTATATTCACCACATCTTTATCAACACTTGCTGGCTTTCATCTTTTTTCTAATAGCTATTCTGACATAGGTGATATCTCATTGTAGTTTTCATTTGTATTTCCCTATCTGCTGGCCCTATCTGTAATTGTATAATTAGATACTAATTCTGTATTAATATAAATCATTTTTTATATAAGCAAATCAATTTCTTTCAAAATATTATTTAAATTCCCTATATATATAAGCAAATCAATTTCTTTCAAAATATTATGCAAATTCCCTATAGCTGTATATATACTATATATATATATACATATATATACTACACACACACACACACACATATATACACACAAAAAAAAACTATTCAAAAATCACTAGCATAAAAAGAGAGCATGGGCCAGCCCATGGCATATAGTTATATGAGCTGGATCCCACATGGCTGATGGTGACGTCTGAGTTCTGGACCTAGCAGTGTGAAAAAACATGCCAGGTGTGGTCATGCATGCCAAACATCCCAAAAGGAGAGAGAAATGGAGGAGAAGACATTGTAGCAGGACCATTCCCCATGGGGAGTGCTTTCTTGCTTTGCCTCTTGCACTGTCTTTCTTGCAGCAAGTGCATGTGTCCTTTGGCAAACTAAAGAAGAAAATGAAGAGGAAGAGAAGGAGGAGGAAGAAGAAGCGCAAAGTTAAGATATATATCATTTAAGTTTGCTTTGTTTTATTTATTTATTTTTGCTAGCTACATTAGGAAAAATTTTTCAATGGTAACAATTGATAAGTTTGTAAAACTGTCTTTGTATCTGTTACTGATGAGCAACTCTTGAAAATATTCACACACTTTGACCCAATAATTCCAAGATCAAAATTATATTATAAGAAAAGACCCACTCATAAAAATGTTTAAAGTAGTATGACTTAATGAAAACAAACTATAAATAACTTAAATTCCCAATAACAAGGACATCTTAGTAAATTGTAGAATATTCATATTATGGAATATAAATCAATATTTTAAATTGTAGGAAATACCTATAATCTTAAATTAAAAAGCAGAATGTATAATTCTATAATGTATGATCCTAATGTTCTAAATAAAAAAATAAAAAGTATAATAGATTAAAAGGAGTTTATCAATTCCTTTTCCTTTTAATGTGAGAGAGATAGATTGATTTTTTGACAGGGTCTCACCATGGTATGATCCTCCTGCCCTAAACTCCCAGTTAGCTAGGGCTATAGGCATGCACACCATTCTCAACCAGTATATGCTGGGCCAGGAATCGAACCTGGGCTACCCATGTGGTCTTAGCCTTTTAAGTAGCAAGCAGCATCTTAGTGTGGCCACTGCCACAGAGATATTTAATCTGGGTGGTAGGATTTTTCAAATTTTATTCTTTAAATATTTGTATTATCTACTTTTCCTACATTTACTATTTTTATTTATTTATTTTTAAATAACTATATTATTTAACTTTATTTATTTATTTATTTATTTTACTTTGACCAGGAAGCGACAAAGAGACAGAGAGAAAGTAAGTGAGAAAGCAAGCCACCAGGTCCAGGACTTGAACTGCAGTTGGCTATGTGGGAGTCCAGAGTCCTTAACCACTACTGGCCCCTGCTGGCCCCACTGCTGGCCCCACTGCTGGCCCCACTACTTTTTAATCAGAAAAACGATAATAATTCTTGGCTGATGCAATATAAATTTTTGTTTTGTTTTGTTTTCTTACTTCTTCACACTTAAGGAGGCTGGAGTTTGCTATTTAACCTGCGTATATATACAGAAATACAATCACTACAAAAAGTTTATCATTGGGAACCAGCAGTTAGTGTAATGGCTATGTCGCTGGACTCCCACGTAGTCGACCGCGGTTCACGTCCCGGACCCAGTGGCTTAAAACTCACGCCGGGCGCGTGTGCGTGCGTGCCCAAGATCCCGAGAGGAGAATGGAGGAGAAGGGATTGCGGCGTGACCATCCCCCCTGGGGGTGATTTCTCGCTTTCTGTCTCTATGTCTCTCTCTGTCTGTCTGGCGAGCGCACGCGCCCTACAGTGAAAATCTCTCCAAAAAAAAAAAAAAAGTTTATCATTATAATAATGAGTAAAATTTAAAAAGAAAGGATCTTATAGCCTTTCTCCACAGAAATAATCACTGTTTTTAGTTGCCAAAGGACACATGCACTTGCTAGAAAGGTGGTGGGGGTGGGGGTAGATCATCTCCCAGTGGGGTGCGGTCATGTATTAATTCCTTCTCTTCTATTTCTCCATCCCATTGGAATTTTGGGCACACACGCATATGTATCTAAGGATGTTTTTCAAACTGCCAAACCAGGATTTAAAGTGGTGGTTGGTCATGTGGGATCCAGCTTCCTCAACCACTAGACAATGTGGCTGGCCTGAGATAATCACTGTTAAGAGCTGAGTTTGTTGTATCTTACTTAAGATTCTTCCGTGCATATACTGATACATATATATGTACACTTTTCATTACATTGAAAAACATACCAGAATAATGTTTTCAAACTTGCTTTTTCTCTTAATCATAAAGTAGAATGGGTTGAATCCAATTTTTTTTGACTCAACATACAGAGAAATTTTGATAACGCTTTAGAAAATGGAAGATTTCTGTCCTTCTATAATTCTTCAGAGAGGCTATGATAGATACAGGTTGAATAACTGAATAATTTTCTGGAATGCATGATCTTCTAAACCTGAGATATGGAGAAATATTATATAAAAACTCCTCTTAAGCCTTGGTACCAGCACATCACATCTGCCTAATATCATACAAAACTTCCTTGATTATGCAAGTGGATAGTTTTCTTTCGGTCTCTGACTTTCTATTTCATTTTCTGCTGAGTATCTTCTATTTCCTATTAATTTGAAAACCTTTTTCCTATTTGATGAAGTGTTTCACAGGAGCCATCACATTATATGAAATACATTATATTTTAACTAGCAGTGAACATTAACAGAGAAAGTCAGCTGATAATTTTATTAGAAAAGTAGAAAGTAGTTTGCTATAGCAATTTGCTAGAATTTTTTCTCTTCATTTGTTCCACAGTTATGATTTATCAGAGGCATAGAAATGATAAAACACATTGCACTGAAGAATAAGCTACAGCCCACTGCTGAGGAAAATTGGGAACAAAAAATATATGTCAGAAAATAAACCATTTTTCTGCTAACTTTTTCTCCTCCTCTTCTTTTTTCTAGATTTGAAGCCATGTTTACTGAACTAGAGGAAAGACAGGAAAAGCTGGGTATTGCTGGCTTTGGTGTGTCTATCACTACCATGGAAGAAGTTTTCCTTAGGTTTGTAGGGATTCGTGAGAGGGAACCACAGAGAAAAAACTCCTCTCCTAAAACTATATTTTATTTAAAGACATGGAAAGCAACTGCAAATACCAGAGAGTGTAGAAGGAGGGTGGACAATGGGGGAAAGTGGTAGGGAGGGAATCAAGAAGAAAAAAAAAAAAAAGAAGCAAAACATCAAAGGAACACAAACATGGAAAAGTATATGTTGATGATAATGTACATGGTGATATCTTTGGACATATACAGTGTATTCATGCTGGGAAAACACATTTTATATGCTGTAAAGATGCACAGTGATTGGATTTTTTTAAAATAAGAAAAATAAAGAAAAAAATAAACAAATTGGATTATTTAAATTTTAAGACAAACAAACAGACAAAAAGTATATTTATGTATTTCTTCAATGAGTGAGAGAAGAGAGGGCTCTCATGCCATGGTCAACCTCCAGGCTCAGTCAACCCTATCATGGGCACATGTGCACATACTTAGAGTGCATAAGGCTGTCCCTTATGGGGGACTCAACCCAGGACTGTCCCATGTGGGTGCAGTTGAGTTGCTATTGCACTACCACCTGGCCCCTATATTTTATTTTAAAGCAATTCCCACTCTGTATGTGGCTGGAGTAATGGAGAGGTAATGAATTGTTAGACATGCTAATCTGTGAGTCACAGGCACATAGATTATGTGTGTTGCTCCTTAGGGCCTAATGCTGTTGTGAGCTGTGGGAGTAAAGGGAGCCGTAGCAGTAGAGGCAGGATGGTCAGTGCAAATCTTAGGGCTATGGAACTGCATAACAATGAAGCCCAGGTTCTGAATACCCAGGATGAGGTAGTATTGAGCAGGATTATTCTATATGAAGCTTCCAGGTTTGAATTTTGGTTTCTCTGGTTTTGGAGTATAGTGGTATCAGCATATATAAATTATGTGGTCATATAGTAACTCATGAAGTTGAATTCGTGTTTTTGCCTGAAAAAATCTTTGTCTAATCATGGCATTGTAACCTACTTAACTTGTATGTTATTTATACTAAAAGGTTACTTTGTGCTGTGTCAAAGTTCAGAGTGAAGGTACCCAGTAAATTCAGCATATTGCTAGGGAAAAGCCATCTGGTTAGCTGTCAAAGACCTCATGAAGTGATTTTGAGGGGGGTCTAAACTTCATTCTCTCAGGCTTAGAACCAATCTCATCAGTGTCTACACAGAATAGTGGCTCTTCAGGCTAAAAAAGTAAATCTAAGAGATATATAGATATAGATATATGTCAAACAAGGGACAGGTATATTCTCTTCGAACTATTTTTAAAAATCCAAAAAGGAAAAGGAAGGAACCCTCCTGAATTAATTCTATGAAGCCTCGATCATCCTGATTCCAAAACAGAAGGGTAGAAGAACAGAGAACCCAGAAATAAACCTCAAAATACACAGTCAACTGATATTTGAGAAAGGGCACAATACAACTTAGTGGGGAAAAGAAAATCTCTTCAGCAAATGGTGCTGGGAGAACTGGATATCAACTGGCAGAAAAATGAAACTGGACCCCTGTCTCTCACCACTAACAAAAATCAACTCAAAATGGATTAAGGATCTAAACATAAAATCTCAAACGATGAAACTACTGGTAGAAACCACAGAGAAAACTCTTGGAGACCTTGGAGTAGGCAAAGACTTCTTGAAGAAGACCCCCCCCCCAAAGCATAAGCAGTAGTCCCCAAAATAGACGTGGGATTACATTGGGCTCAAAAACTTCTGCACAGCAAAATAAACAATAACTAGTTTTTAGCCTCTGGGTTCAACTTCACAGATATGAAGTCTCCCCTAGTCAGTGTCCCCCTCTCAGACCCAGCACTAGCCAGGACAGAATGCTGCTAGCCACCTCCAACTTTGCCTGTTTTTGGCCTTGTGCCACATTTCCATTTTCATCCCAATTTCATTTTTTGCAAAGTGATTTTTTTCCCTTTTTTCCTCTTTTTCTTATAGTACTTTCTTTTTTTCTTTACCTTCTCTCCCTATTGCTATTTCCTCCCTTCTTTTTCTTTACCTTGACTCTTCTGTTTTACTTCTCAGCTCTTACCCTATAGCGAAAAACCTCTCAAAAAAAAAAAAAAAAAAAAAAAAAAAAAAAAAAAAAAAATATTACAAAAAA